CCCTCATGCCCCTGTTTTCAGCGGGACGTCCCCTGCCCTGTCCCAGCGTCTCCAGGGGCTCGAAAGCAGCAATCGCCTAACATCGTATTGTCGGTGCTCCCAGGCTGCCCCGCCGTCCTTGCGGCCTGAGCTGTGAGGGTTTGTGCAGCCCTGGAGAGCGCCAGGTAGAGCAGTTGGGGGTTACATCTCGTGTTCCCTGTGATTTGCTTCATGGCCATGGGGAGGTGGATCCCCCCAGCCTGGGAGCCCGCTCTCTTGCTTCAGCTGGGTCCCTGCAGGATCAAAGAATAGGCCAGGCTTGGGAGGTTGGGCGGGATGCAGCTCACCACCTTTCTGTGGGGGTTTGGATGGAAGATGCTGGTTTGGTCTTGGTTAGGAGCTGTTGGGGTTGGTGTTGAATCAGTTCTTAGGTGGAAAATGTGCCCTCCTCGAGAACGGACCCCTCGTGAAATAGGTTCTTGAGGGGAGGACATTGCTGGTTGCTGAGACAGGTGGCCTTAGGTGACACCAGAGCTGGCAGTGGCCCTGTGGCACCATGGGACATGGCTTATGGGGTCTGATTAGAGGGTCCCATCCCTGTGCAGGGGCTAGCCTGGGGCAGGGCCATCCACGGGGACCCTCGTTGTAAATACTGTCCTTATTTGCTCCTTGTAGCCCAGCAAGATCCTGTCAAGAAGGGGGAAGCTTTGCATCATGCCTCGAAGACAAGGTACCGGGAGGGGGGACACACGGCTGGGGGTTTTGAGGCCCTCTCTCCAGGGAGGTCACAGCCACCTCTCGGCAAGGAGATCCTCAGGCAGGGCCCATGTGGTTTGAGCATCTCTTGGCTCCCTGGGGACTTCCCCATCAGGATAGGGATGGAAAGGGGAAGGGGTTTCCTTGGTTGAGGTGCCTTGAGCTTAGAGATCCTGTGAGCCCCTCCTGCCACGTCCTGCTGGGAGCATGCATCGGGCTGGAAGTGGGGGTGGCAGAAGTGGGTGCTGGGGGTGTGGCGGGGGTCACTGGCGTGTGCTATGGACTAGGGACGCTGGCTGTTGAGTTGTCAGCGCCTCTTCTGGCTTCCTCCTGACTGGCAACAAGAAGCTGCTTTTTGACAGGTCTGTTATGGGCTGTTTGGGATCTTCTGCCTCATTATCTGGTCTCATAAATCTTTGCCGAAAGAGTCCTGCCTTTAGCCGTCTCTGGGTGTTTTATGGCTCTGGCTCTGTTCTTCATCTTCATGTCACCTTATCTTTAGCTTTGTTCTTTGTTATCTTCATTTTGTTCATCTTCCCGCTGTCTGGCCGCTTGATGAAGCCATGAAACCAGGCACACATCTCTGTGCCAATTTAAGCTGATTCCTTTAACCCTTCTTCCGCTGGTCCTGTGCATCCATGTACAGACATTCCTGGTCTTATGGGTGTTAATGTTTCTTCCAAATCTGTCTGGCAGCTGAATTTGGTGAATTCAGCCCTTCCTCCTTGTGATGCCAGTGGGGACATCCCTGGGCAGCTGCTCGCCTTGGCCCAGGGCGCTTTTCCCAAGCCAGGAGGGATCCTACCTGCTCAGCAGCAACCTAGGAATGGGATTATAATTCCTACTGCCGTGCAGGAGGCGAGCGCTTCCCTGCCCCGATCCCAGCGGCGTGAGAGAGACGAGGTTGGGGTTTGCTGTGGGCATTTCATCCTCGGTCAAGCGTGTCCCTCAGTTTGTTTAGAAAAGAGGGGGAGGAAAGGTGGTCATTTTTTTCCCTCTTTGTTTTGCTGTATAAATATAAAATATATATAAAAATGTAAAGATATAGAGCCCTCTGTGGAGTTTTCTCTGGGTTGGGAGGAACAGAGCCCCTCTGTGCCTGGACAAGAGGACGAGGGAAACAGCTTAGCACCGTGCCAGCTTCTTCACTGAGTTTGGGCAGCGGAAGGGCTTACGGCAGCCCCACCGACTTAAAGGTTCGGGATATGGTAACAGACACCAGGCCAGTAGCTTTCGGGATAAACAATTTATCTCTAAATAATGGTACAGTAATAGATACAGATCAGTAGTGCAATTATCCAGGTCATAATGACAGCAAATCCAGTAATTCACTAATACAGGGCTAGACTTAATATCTGGGAGTGCAAAGACTTCCACGACCGTGGCCATCAGGCAGGCAGGAATCAGAGCACGGCTTCTTCTCTGGACAAGAGACTTGGACCAGCCGAGCAGGCTTGGGGAATCCCAGATTCCCTGATGGGACTGTTCTTTTTTAATTGTTGCATTGCGGAAGCACCGTTTGGGTGCGCCGAGAAACCATCAGAACAGTGCGGGCCGAAAATCAAGCACAAATATGTAAAGAGGTGATTAAAAGAAGTAAGAAACTGCTCAAAATAAGGATAACAGCTGAGGGATGAAGTAAGATGATGAATATTCCCGTAGCGGGGCGGGGAGACCACCCTGAAAGGGATTCCCACCAGCCACATTTGACTATTTTTTGAGCATGTTCCAGGATTTGTGTGATCTGTGGTGTCACGGTGGACAGGTATTAATGTTCGTTGTCCCTGCTCCCTCCCCTGCTTCAGCAGTCGATGTAAGGCTGGGTGCTGCAAAAACTCTTCTGTTCGAGAAGTTTGTTGACAGTTGACAAGCAATAATTGGGGCAGCATGGTTAAAATCACATCCAGGTAGAGTAGTAAAGTTACAGATACACAGCTCGACTAACGTAGATAAAGTATGGTTATACGTAGCGTCAATATCTACAAAAGAATAGGAAGATCGCGAAGGTACAGAGCCGTTCCTGCCGCGCACAAGTGTTGTTTCGGCGTGTTTATCGGGTGCGTTAGGAAATGATAGGCTCCCCAGGGGAATTAAGGCACGTATCAGAGGCTCTAAAGGGATTTCCTTCGCACGCAAACCCCAGGCCTGGCTCAGGGACTCGCAAGCTTTGGTGTCTCCTGATTGCCAGCCTTTCATTCCCTGCTGACACTCCCTTGGGTCACCCCTACAGCATTTGGTAACAACGTCTGGTCACCGCGATTTAGATGTTCCCGTCGGTGTCTGTGCTGAGCCTGGGTGGCTTGTGCAGGCGTAACCAACGTTTCTGGCGGGCAGAGACTGGATTTTTTTGCCTCAGTGGCTGAACTGGCCCTGCCACTGTCACCCTGCTGCGTTTGATGGTCCGGAGCAGCCGTGCGTGAGGTGTGCACGTAAAGCTGCGGTGGTGACAACCTCGCGCGTGTTCCCCTGAGCGTCCCTGTGGCCTGCACAGCTTCGCTGGGCTTAGGGAAAGCGCCGGTGGGGGTTG